TGTGCTTGTGACTTCAAAAAAACATTCTACTTTGTCTATTCAGTTACCTATTGTTTATAGCTTGGCCTTTGGAGTTAGTGGGGCTTGGGTTTAGATCCTGATTCTGCCACTGATAGAAGATTCAACTTTAGGCAGGTTACTTGACTTTTCTGAGCCTCAATTTCTTCATTTTTAAAAGCAGGGATAACAGCATGCCTATCTTCCAGGGCTGTTTTAAGTCTGAAAAGTTGTTATATATGAAAAGGCCCAATATAACACCAGCCACAAAACATGCCTCAATATTGGTTTCCTTCTTTATTTCTTAATTTCTTCACTTCTAGTGGGTTTTTTTTCCTTTAAGATATTACTCACATGACTCCCAAAATTCCTCTATAACTGTCAAAAGCTGATTAACTCTAATTTAACCACATCTCATGTGCTAACAATAGTGAAGGTAGCATAACATTTCTCCTTTCTCGTCTATTTAGAATAGCACATGAATTGATGTTAATTCATTAGCACAGGAAAATCTCAATTATTTGAAAAATCAAATAATCAGAAAGAAGGCAATGAAAAAAGTTAGGAAGAAGTACTACTACTAATGGGGAACCCATGAGAACACCTGGTCCATATACCATAGTTAAAGCCAAAGGGTGGGGAATGTTTCTTTAAGGAATCCCCGAGCATCTAGAATGGAAATGGAAGGATGCCTTTTTCTTCATCTGGAGCCCGACAGAAATCCCCATGCCATCAGTGTTAATCAGGAGAAGGTAGGTAATGCTGCAGTAACTAGCAACTCCACACCCCTAAGGCATAATGCCACATTACATGAGAAAGGCAGGACAGCGAAGTGCTCTGTGTCACATCGTACATGAAGGACTCTCTATTCCTGTAGGTTTTCTGTGGGAAACAAGGCCTTCTCAGTCACTGCAATAGGAAAAGAATACTAGAGTGTCTTGCACTCAGCAATTAAATGCTTTGGCCCAAAATCAACATGCCACTTCCATTCATAGCCAATGGGCAGAACTAATCACACAGTCCTGCCTAACTGTAATCCTCCTGTGTGCCTGGGAGAATATATGGTAAACACTTGGGGTCTCCGAACACCATTCATGGCAAGAGGAAGCAACATCCACTGATGAATGGGAAACAGAGGCAATGGGAAACCAGGAGAGCAAAATGGACACTTCCTACACGCCCTCACCTGGGCCCAGTTTTTTCCCATGTGACACTTCTGTGATGCAGCAGAGGCAGGCCCACAAGAGTCTCACAGCCATATGAAGGCATACAGCCACTAGTATTGACTAGAAGTTGTTTGAGATGTTTGACCCCTTAGTAGATGCCCAAGATAAATGCTGATTAGGAAAAACATTGTTTACATCAACAGTGGATGCCATCCAAGAATATAATGTCTCATATCTACACATTAGAGTGGTCTTCGTAAGCCACATCACCACCCACAAAATTTAGATGAGACCTGAGGGAGAAAGGGGGGAATCCTGAATTTATCTGAGATAATCCCAGAAATGACTAGTCCTGTATTATCCAAGAGGGTTTCAGCTACAGGTGGAATGGTAGTTCAAAACAGATGTTATGTCACTTGGAGTAAAATTATACCCTCAACCATAGTTTGCAAGCATCGTGACTGGTAGACAATGATGAGTTAGTAAAAGAACTAAGGAGTTACAAAAAGACATATCTACAATGCAAGCAAGAATTTACACTAGGGTAAAGATAATCTATTTAATAAATGGTGCTGGGAATTTGGACTGACACATGCAAAAAAATGAAACTGGAACACCTCCTTACGCCATATACAAGAACAAATTCAAAATGGATTAAAGACTTAAGCATAAGACCAGAAACCATAAAACTCCTAGAAGAAAATATAGGAACTAAATTTGCAGACATTACCCTGAGCAATGTTTTTACTGATACATCCCTGTGGGCAAGGGAAGTAAAAGAGAAAATGAACATATGGGATTACATCAAACTTAAAAGTTTTTTCACAACAAGTGAAACCATCAATAAAACAAAAAGGAAGCCTACTGAATGGGAGAAGATATTTGTCAACAATATATCTGATAAAGGGTTAATATCCAAAATTTATAAAAAACTCATGCAACTCAACACCAAAAACACAAACAACCCAATTAAAAAATGGGCAGAGGAAATGAAGAGACATTTCTCTAAAGAGGACATACAGATGGCCAACAAGCATATGAAAAAATGTTTAACCTCACTAATCATTAGGGAAATGCAAATAAAAACTACAATGAGATACAACCTTACCCCACTCAGAATGGCTATCATCAATAAATCAACAAACAACAAGTGCTGGCAAGGTTGTGGGGAAAAGGGAACCCTGGTGCACTGTTGGTGGGACTGTAGATTGGTGCAGCCACTATGGAAATCAGTATGAAGATATATATATATATATTCCTAAAGACTCCACCAAAAAACTGTTAGAACTAATCAACAAATTTAGTAAAGTGGCACAATACAAAATCAACATACAAAAATCAATTGTGTTTCTATTAACAAGCAATGAACTACCTAAAAAAGAAATTAAGAAAACAATCCCATTAACAGTAGCATAAAAAAAGAATGAAATACTTGGAAAGAATTTAACCAAGGAGGTGAAAGAATTGTACACTGAAAACTATAAAATATTAATGAAAGAAATTGAAAGACACAAATAAATGGAAAGATAGCCTGTGTTCACAAACTGGAAGAATTCATATAGTTAAAATGTCCATAGTACCCAAAGTGATCTACAGGTCTAAGCAATGTTGATATACAGAATCAAAATTCTAATGGCATTATCGTAGGAAGAAATAAAGCAATGCTGAAATTCATATGGAACCACAAAAGACCCAAATAACCAAAGCAATCTTGACAAAGAAGAACACGGCTAGAGGCATCACACTTCCTGATTTCAAATTATATTACAAAGTTATAGCAATTAAAACAGTATGGTACTGACATAAAAACAGACATGTAGACCAACGGAACAGCGTAGTGAACCCAGAGATAAACCCATACATATATGATCAACGAACCTATGACAAAGTATCAAGAACACAAAATGGAGAAAGGACATTCTCCCATAAATGGTGCTGGAAAACTGGATATCCATATGCAAAACATTGAAATTGGACCTATATCTTGCACCATACACAAAAATCAATTCAAAGTGGATTAAAGACTTAAACTTAAGATTTAAAACTATGAATTTCCTGGAAGAAAGCATAGGGGGTAACCTCCTTGACATTACCCCTGACAATTATTTTTTTTTTTAATTTGACACCAAAAGCACAGGCACCCAAAACAAAAATAAACAAATGGGATTACAGCAAACTACAAAGCTTCTGCACAGTAAAGAAAACCATCAACAAAATGAAAAGGCAATCTACAGAATGGAAGAAAATATTTGCAAACCATTTATTTGATAAGGGGTTAATGTCCAAAATATATAAAGAACCTCTACAATGCAATAGCAAAAACAAGAACAAACAAACAAACAAACAAAATAAATAACTCAATAACTCAATTAAAAAACGGGGAAAGGACTTGAACAGACATTTCTCCAAAGAATACATACAAATGGCCAACAGGTATATAAAAAATATTCAACATGACTAATCATCAGGGAAATGAAAATCAAAATCACAATGAGATATCACCTCATATATGTGAGAATGCCTATAAACTTAAAAAATGAATAAATAAGAAGAACTAAAAAAAAAGAAAATAGAACAACAAAAAAAAAAGATTAAAAGTATTGTCAAGGCTATGGAGAAAAGGAATCTCTGGTAGACTGTTGGTAGGAATGTGAACTGGTAAAGCCATTATGGAAACAGTATAGAGGTTCCTTTAAAAATTAAAAATAGAACCACCATATGATCCAGTAATCCCATTTCTGGGTATTTATCCAAAAGAAATGAAATCAGTATCTTGAAGAGGTAGCTGCACTCTCATATTCATTGCAGCATTATTCACAATAGCTAAGATATAGAAACAACCTAAATATCCATGGAGAGATGAATGGGTAAAGAAGATGTGGCATATATATATATATATATATATATATATATATATATATATATATATAAAAGATATATATATACACAATAGAATATTATTGAGCCTTAAAAAGAAGGAAATCCTGCCATTTCTGGCAACATGAACTTAGAGGACTTTATGCTAAGTGAAATAAGTCAAACAGAAAGATAAACACTGAATGATCTCACTTATATGTGGAATCTAAAACAGTCAAACTCATAGAAGCAGAGAGTAGAATGGTGATTGCCAGGGGCTGGGTTGGGGAAGGTACAATAGGGAGGTGATGGTAATAGGGTATAAAGTTTTTGTTTATACAAGGTAAGTTCTGGAGATCTGTTATACAGCATAATGCCTATAACTAACAATACAGTATTGTATACTTAAATTTTCTAAGATGTTAGATCTTATGTAAAGTATTCTTACCACAAAAGTAATAGTAACAAAGGAAGTATGAGGAAGTTTTGGAAGGTGATGGATACGTCCATGGCCTTAAGAGTGATGATGATTTCATGAGTGTATACTTATCCCCAAACTCACCAAGTTGTTACGTTAAATATGTGCAGCTTTTTACATGTCAGCCATTACCTCAATAAGTCATACCTTAAAAACAAATAAAAAGAAAGAGAATTCAGGGCTCAGATAGAGCAGAACTGAGAAGAAATTGCCCTGTGACCAATTAAAGCACTGTTTCCACTACAACCCATTATCTCCTTGCTGTCAGGATGATCTTTCTAACCCAAATCCCATTCTTCCATCTTCCATATACAACCCTGATTAGATCATATTCTCCTTGTAGGATAAAGTACAAATTTTTTAGCATAGTGTAGTGCCCTGGCCTCTTTCTTTATCTTCATGTTTTCCCATATCAGTTATTTTGAATATTCTATAGTTCTCTGACACACTTTTTCTTCACACCTCCATGTGCTCTGATTAAATGAGCACATGCATCACCCCACCAGCATTCATGCTACTAGCACCACCACTATAATCTTTATTATCACCATTAAACCCATCAACACCACAGCCTGTCATCACTATCATCAGCAGTGTCATCTCGACTGCAACCACCATCACCAGCACAATCACCACAATTCCCCCCATAACCCCCACCACTGCCACCACCACTGCCAGCACCACCAGGAGCAATTCCACTGTCACCACCAGCACCCATTTGACAAAGTCATCTTTTAAAAGACTTGGTTTTAAGGGTTAGCTTCTCTATGAATCTACAGCTTTATCCTCTGTGTCTTCAATGAACCCTATTCAACAGCCTTTTTGAAAATGTGATCCCAGAAACATTTTCCTCCTGATATTAATGTGTACAAAATTACCTTCATTAACACCTGTTTCCATGTGGTGTGAACTAAACCTTAAATATTTTTCAAAAACAATGCTTTCAGACAGTATAAATAACAGAGAAAATACAGTTTTCATGCCTTTGTATTAATAATTTTAATAGATTTACTGTCCTTTTAGTATATATTTTAAACTATGTTGTTTTGAAAATCTTATGTGTTGGAATCATTTATTTATATTTAAAATGGCACTTTCCTCTATTTTATGTATTAGTATTTAGACTATGTCATTGTTTAAGGAGGTTACACACACACACTCACGTATGTGTATATATAATCTCTTTAAACATTGATGTAGTCATATATATCTGTCTCTGTGTGTGGGGGGGATAGCTTTTAGTATTTGACTACGTATAAGGATGTTTTTTCTAGCCTTCATGGCTACAGGTGAAAAACAAAAAGGAATGTGCCAGTGAATGCTCATATGGCAATGCACTCTCAACTCAATGCCAAGGGGGAAACAGTTGCAAAACCAGTGGGGTAAATTTTCTATTTTTTAGAGTTAAATCTGTAACTTAAGTGTTGGAAAATTCATTTTTTCATTAAATCATTTATTGAAGTAGTATTTGTGCAGCTCCTATTATGTCAGGTGCTGTGCTAGACACTGAGAATAAGTGGTAAACAAGACTGACATGGTCCTTATCCTAAATGTAGATTCCATTCTATCGGGGAGAAACAAAAGAATTACAACTTATACTGACTGCTGTGAAGAAGAGGGGCAGAAAGGTAATCCAGAAAGTCCTTTCTGTGAATTGAAAGATGAGAAGGAAGTAAGCTAAGGGAAGAGAGGAGGTAAGAGCATTCTAGGAAGAGGGTATAGTATAATACAGAGGCCCTGAGGCAGAAAAGTTTTAGCATGTTTGAAGAACTGAGAAAAAAGCAGAGCTGAACACAATAAGATGATAAGTCTCAAATATCTTGGCACATCCTGGATTTGGCAGAACCTTATAAAGCCATGGTTGGAAGTCTGGATTTGATTATCTGGCCACTGAATTAAGAGGTGTTAAGCAGGGGAAACTGACATGATTTATGTTTTAAGATATACTGGCTTCGGACCTGCTGAGTGGCGCATTGCTTAAGAGCTGCCTTGGGACACCAGCTCTGAGCAGCAGGGACCCGGTTCGGATCCCACATGAGGGCCAGTGATGCTGCACCCTCTACAGCTAAGATCTTGAACAACAGCTCGACCTGGAGCTGGGCTTCCGGGAGTCGTGGGTGATGGCGTAGGTTGCAGTGGGGCTCGCTGGCAGTGGGAGTGAGCTTTCGTGAGCGGCCATGAGCCACCATGAGCCGCCGTGAGTGGCCGTCCAATGGCCTGCAAGTGATCTGCCTCGCCCAGGAAGAGAGCAATGATAATACCAACTTGGGGCAGTGAAGCGACGTCCTCCACAACTAGACTGAAGAACAAAATGACAGCAACTTGTCTGTTCCCCTTCCCCATTCCCCAATGCTATTCCCCTCCCCCAATTCCCCAATAAAATCTTAAAAAAAAAAAAAAGATATACTGGCTTCTGTGAGGAGAATGGGCTGGAAAGGGAAAAGAGGACAGCAGTTAGGTGGGTGTTGTAGCCCAGACAAAAGATGAAGGAGTCCAGGTACACGTGGTGCCTGTGGAGATAGAGAGGTCAGTTATGAACTTCTCTGACTTATCACCAACCCTCAGAACCATCCTGCAAGGGAAGCGCTGTTAACAGCACAGAGAAGTGGCTTATTCTAACTCATACAGTCAACTGGAGGCTGAGGCCAGGCTCAGTCCCAAAATGAATTCCCCAGCCCTGCTCTCTCCACTGCACGTCCTGCCCCTCACTGCCTGTGGAGGGCTCCCTGCAGCACCTCAACTTCCTGTTCCCAGTGAGCGGCTGGGTAGGGGTATACTCTTTCCCTTTCTCCGTCCTCAGAATATAGGTGCCCATCCTAGGGGACCTGTGACCATTCAGCTGGCAAATAATGGTAAGAACATCCCGCAGGTTTTTTCCAGGCCCAGTTCTAACCCCTGCCCCCTCTGCCCACTCTCTGCTCTCTCGGCCTAATTATGACGACTGAGGTCCATGGATTACAAGAGCACACAGCCAGCGCATTAGGCCTTACACAACCCCAGAAGATTCTTTGCTCCAATTACCAGTGGATAAAAATAAAGTTTTCATGCTCAGCCACCTCTAAAACCTGTCACTGGGAATAAGGATTATTATTCTAATCATCTTACTTGATGACTGTGAGAAACACACTAACATTTCAGTTTTTGCCCTAATTACCTCCCAAAGGCCCCATCTCCAAATACCACCACATTGCAGGTTAGGACTTCAGCTTATGAATTTGGGGGCGGGCGAGACACAATTTGGCCCATAAGCACCAGGTGATACTATAAACTTGGAGGGCTTCTAATTTTCCCTTCGTCCAGTTATCATATTCCATGATGCTCTATTTCAACATTCTGATACTCAGGATGACTTTCAACATAAGTGACGTTCTGCTAGGTACATTTAATCAGGCTTCACTAAGACAAAATTTCATGACTTCTCAAATCAAGCACAATCAATTTAGAGGCAGGAAAATATCAGAGGTCCAGAACAGGTTAATTTACTTATTAATATATATTAATAAGTAATGGCTGAGATTTGAGTTGCCTGTCAGCCTAGGGGTACATGTAATCTCTGTGAGAAATTTGAGTTTCTCATAAATGGTGTTGTTTCATGCTTCTCAGATAATGAAGTTAATGGAAGAACTGAGTCTTTAGAGCTCATTGTAGAAACTGGTGATGCGTGCAGTGGGTACCGCCTGGGTTCTAGCCCTGCTTCTGCAACGTATTAGCTGTGTGACTTCACAAAGCAAGAAACAAACTGAGGAGAATGACAAGACTTGCCAAACAGAAATGATAAAACATCCCCTGAATCTGACCAGAGCACCAAAAGGCACCAATACTCATGCTGCAATTTAAGACAATGCTGTGATAATCACACTAGACCCTCACCCTCTAGAATGGGTCGAAGTCCTTGGTTTCCCAGAGTTACCATAAAATCGTCATTTCAGAGCTGTTCCGTAGGAGCAGTTGACCTTTTCTGCTTGCTTTGTGCACGTGGCTGCTCCCAGTACTTCTTTAAGATCCGAAATATGATGACCAGAGGTAAAGTGTGTCCCTAAAAAGAGAGTACTCCTCCAAACTCAGTCATTCATCTCAAACATCACTTAGAAGACTGTTATCAGGGAACTTCATTAACCTTTTTCTCCTCAAAGTAAAAGGTTCTTAAAGGGTTCACTCTTTAATGGTAGCAAAACAAGCCACTGTTTAGCCTCTTCTGAAATGTGAGGGTGCTTGGCAGGTGAGAAAAGGGGAAAGGATACTGACTTAAACAGAGATATTTTCCCTTCTTCTGACTCTTGCTGCTTTGTTTCTTTACAGAAACAACTAAGTAATCAGTCATCCAAGAAGTAAGCAATCCTAGAAAGATGATCTTTAACAGGTAAAGGCACAGCACCAGTTTAGAAAATCAGCTGCAGGAGGTGGTAAATTCTGCGTACATTCAGGGTAGCAAAGCTTTGAAGTGAAACCTAAGATGTTGGCCCAACCTGAAGACAATTTGCCTGGCTCAGGAGAGAGTGGGCTGCCCAGCGGGGTGGGGGAGAGCAGGGGGCTGGAGGAGGGCGTGTGGGGAACCTCGGGATGTGGAACGGGAAGAGTGGCCATGGTCCCACTCTGGGTAGACTGCATCTGCTTTAAAAAGAAAACAAATAGGGCTGGCCGAGTGGCGCGATGGTTAAGAGCTGGCTTGGGACGCCAGAGGGCCCCGGTTCGGATCCCACATATGAGGGCCAGTGACACTGCCCTCTACAGCTAAGATGCTGAACAACAGCTCAACCTGGAGCTGGGCTGCCCGTGAGTCGCTGGCGAAGGCATAGGCTGCAATCCCTGTGGCAGTGGGTTGCCATGGGCTACCGTGTGTAGCCAGCAACCAGCATGAGCAGCCAGCAGCCACTGTGCGCGGCCGTCCAGAAGCCGGCGACTGATCTGCCTTGCCCGGGAAGAGCGCAATGATGGTGCCAACTTGGGCCAGTGAAGCGATGTCCTCCACCACTAGACTGAAGAACAAAAGGACAGCAACTTGTCTGTTCCCCTCCCCCCAATTCCCCAGCATTGTTCCCATCCCCCCAATTCCCCAATAAAAATCTTTAAAAATAAATAAATAAATAAATAAATAAATAAATAAAAATAAGATAGCTATCAAGTCACTTAAAGCTCCAGGAAGAGGCTGCACTAACAGCTAAGCCATCCCAACACCAGCCTCGGCCTCCAGGCCAGCTCAGCGGCTTCCTACCCAGCAGACGGTGGTATAGTGAACTGGGCTGAATTTGCCCCCCAGCATTCATGTTGAAGTCCTGACCTCCAGTACCTTAGAACGTGGATGTATTTGGAGATAGGGCCATTAAAGAGCTCATTAAGGTTAAACGAAGCCAAGAGGGTGAGGTTCTAATCCAATAGGACTGGAGTCCTTATAAGAAAAGGGAGGGACACCAGGGGTGCACGGACCCTGAGGCAAAACCGTGTGACAATGTGGAGCGGAAGTAGCCACCTGCAAGCCCAGGAGAGAGGCTTCAGGAAAAACCAAACCTGTAACACCTTGATCTTGGCTTTTCAGCTTCCAGAACTGTGAGAAATGAATTTCTGTTGTTTAAACCACCCGGTCTATGGCATTTTGTTGAGGCAGTCCTAGCAGACTAATACGTCTAGTGGGAACTAATCTCGATCCAAAA